TTTCTCTTGTAGATATCTGGTGCTCTCTGTTTCCAAGCTGCCTGTTTTGTTAAATACAGCCTATGCTACATGGAATGCCTCTCAGTTTGGATAAATTTCATTACCTCAGGGCTTAACATTTCATCTTGGCATTGTGATTAGCTGGATGAATGGCGACAGAGTGTCATCCTCCCTCTCTCAGAACGCCAAAGAAATCTACGCGATGCCTTAGTGAAGCGTGTTTCAGACCACAGGAGTTGTAAGACTTAGTTGAAAAGAAAAAGAAGCGTGCCTGTCGAATAAGAGCTGGAATTATGGAGGAGGGGCACTTGGAAGATGGAACCTGACCCTGGACGGTGATGAATACCCCCCATGAATCTAATGGAATCTAATGCAGGACTTGGCTCTAACACATCACAAATTATATACCGAGAGGAAGGCTGGTCTGGTGGTTGAGACTCAAGGTTCATTGACTGGTGTTTCCTCAGGCTCCCTGTGGGACTGTGTTCTGACTTCAGCCCACCTCCAGTTAAAATCAATACAAAGGGGTCTTGCTTGTCCTTGCATCTGTGTCAGCTCTCTGGCACAGGTGGAGTCTACTCTCCAGGTACCAATGCACGAGCAGTGACAATTCAGCGAGATGACGTGCACTGCTTTGACATCTTTCATATTGGCTGTGGCTGTGGTTTAAATTGAGCACACACTGGAAAAAAAATCCAAACAAGTCACTGTGCTTACATGAGGGGAAAGGATTTTATTTTCAATTGAATGGGCCACAATCATGGATGGATTTGGCCCAGTGTGTTTGAATGACCTCCAGAATGACACAGGCCATAGAATTCATCCAAAGATCCTGCACTGAGACCAACAACTTCCGGTTGAATGTGACCATGTTTTTCCAGAAAGAATAAGAGTTAAAAGTCTAATCTGAAGATCACCTACAATCACTGGAATCCTCTGGGTAGGGACTGGCTTTATTTTTGTGAAGTGTCCCTCCCAGGCTGAGTACTGGGGCTTAACAAATGCTAAATCCCAAAGAGAAAAAGCTCACACAGTTATTGATTACAAAGCACACGGCCAAATACATACCTCGTGTAATGATCTATTTAGGGGCCAGAGTTCAAAGGCTGGTTTCCATTAGGGCTTATTAACACTTGTTGGGTGCTATTTTTTTTTAATGGTCACCACTAAGTGTTTCTTAAACTTTTTAAGACCGAGGAACACCAAACAATTTTTTTAATGAGGAACACCAAAGATTTTTTTGTTGAGCAAAAAAAAGGCTCGGGGGAAAGGTAATGAGCAAAAAAAAAAAAAAAAAAGTTGCCTGCCCCTTTAAGGGCAGTCATTTTGAACTCTGTTGTTCTCTGTGGCACCCCTCCGACTGCCTCGCTGCACACTGCACACATCTTTGTTGGGTATTAAAAGAGAGCGACTCTTTTTGTGATGCTTTACCATTGTCACATGCCACCCATGCGCTCTTTGAATCTCTCCCAAAGTTCCACTTGTGTTTGACTTGAGATTTGGGGGACAGTTTGATTCAGTTCAGGTTTGAGTCAAAAGAATTACACCACCTTATCTACTGTCATCAGTTCATCTCTGTAAATGAATGCACAAACAAACAAACAAAGCAGAGCCATTACTCCTCTCATTGGCTATGTCTAGACTGCAGGCTTCTTTCGAAAGAGCCTCTTTCGAAAGCATCTTTCGAAAGAGCCTCTTTCGAAAGATCGCGTCTAGACTGTAGGCGGATCTTTCGAAAGAGCAATCCGCTTTTTCGGAAGAGAGCACCCAGCGAGTCTGGATGCTCTCTTTCGAAGACGGCCTCTTTACATTGAAGAACGCCTTCTTTTGAAAGAGGAACTTTCGAAAGAAGGCGTTCTTCCTCGTGAAATGAGGTTTACCGCCATCGAAAGAAAAGCCGCGTTCTTTCGAAATCATTTCGAAAGAACGCGGCTTGAGTCTGGACGCAGGGGAAGTTTTTTCGGGAAAAGGCTACTTTTCCCGAAAAAACCCCTGAGTCTGGACACGGCCATTGGGAAGTTGCAGATAAACCATCCTTACTGGCGCCTCTCAGGGCAGTTTCACAGACACTGCTTCATAACAGTGCATGAACCAGTCTTTAAATGCTATGGTTAGGGTCAGTACGTGCATCAGGAGCAGTGTTAGGATTTCTCATAGGCAGAAGGCTGCATCTGTCAGTGCTTGTAATTCTGTATATGTTAGTGATGCAGACAAAGGAAAATTGGAAAGACCAAATGATGGAGACTGTAAAGAGAAAACAATATTGCCTTTTATTTCTTGCATGCAACTCTCTATTGAATTCCTGGACCTGGAAACTCCACTATCACACCGTATTGGGTGATTAGATAAGAACAGACATTCTGGATCAGGTCAAAACTCCACCTAGCCCAGTATCCTGTCTTCCAACAGTGGCCAATGTTAGATGCCCGAGAGGGAGTGAACAGAACAAGTAATCATCAAATCCCCACTGCACCTGGAGTTCGAAATAAGCTACGTAATTTGAGGTGCCCAAATTGCATAGCTTATTTCAAGTTAGTTTCGAAATAGCTTATTTAGAAATTTGGCACTATCTACACAGCGCTTATTTAAACATAAATCGATATTCTAAAACGTTCCTTACTCCTCATGGAATAAGGTTTTACAGGGACGTCGGCATAGCGAGCCTGTTATATTTTGAAATAACGGACGCACTCAAAAGACATGGAAAAGCTCTTTTGGGATACCTCTGGTATCCCAAAATAGCACTTCAGTGTAGATGTAGCCTAAGCGATCCCTCTCCTGTCATCCATTTCCAGCCTCTAATAAACAGAGTCTAAGGACACCATTCCTGCCCATCCTAGTTAATAAGTATTGATGGATCTAGCCCTCCATGAATGTACCTAGTTCTTTTATGAAACCTGTTAAATTCTTGGCCTTCACAAAATCCTTTGGCAAGGAGTTCCACTGGCTGACTGTGTGCTGTGTGAAGAAAAACTTCCTTTTGTTTGTTTAAAACCTGCTACCTCTTACCTGTGTTAATGAGTGGAAGAACACATATCTTAAATGAACTGCCATAGGCCTGTACCTTCGATGAATCACATTAAAATAAAACAGGATGCTTGCATTAGTGTTGTACGAGGCCTAGCATAATGTCGTCCTGATCCATTACTGAGGCTTCTCAGTACTACCAGAGTACAAATAATTCTTTCCTCCTCCTTTCTCTTCTTTATTTACTGATTAATAAGTCCCATTAAAATCCATCTCTGACTGACACGTGTTAATACGTAGTACATGCCGGGGGGAGTTGCCAAGGTGCCGCCGCTTCGTGTGCACCCACCCACGTCGAACGCCGACCTTGCCTCGGCTTTTGCTGCAGGAAGCAACTGTTATTAATAATTTATTGAGTGCTGACAGCACACTCTTTTCTGTCCAAAACATCCCTACCCCAAGGAGCTTGCCTACAAAGAGGCAGACAGCGCCCCATAAATCACAATCAAGTGGAGTGATTCAATATGTGATTCATGCAATACAGGGGGAAAAAAAGGGGGGGAAAACCGTGATAAAAACACTTTCCTGAGAAATGCTGAGTGAAGATCACACATTATTGTCAATTAGATTTCCTGGCATACCACTCTTGTGTGCAGGCAGGAACTGGTAGTCCTGTAAAGCATCTGTTTTATTCACAACAGCATTGCTTAGATGTCCTCCTCCGAAACTACTTAAAAAGTAACTCTGTTTTTCTGGGATGGAGGGAAAATTGCATATGCTGCTCTATCTTTGAGCCCTAAGGTTATGTCTTTTCCCACCAAGTTCTTACTAAGCATTTGTTCTTGAATCAAAAGAGACTTTTCAGTGATGAAAGTGATTGGACAATTTGAGGATGGTTGTCTGTGCATTCGGTCTTTCTTTAAGGATGTTGGTATTTCTCAGAAATTCTACACTCAGGGTTGTCTGATGTGTGTCAAAGTACTTAGTTTAAACTTAATTCCTGAGGGGAAAGGGTGAGTAATGTCATACAAGAAGAAATCTGTCTTTAGGCTTTGCTGTCTGAAGAAGCGTTTTTAGAATTGGGCAGCTTTAGTCAGACCAGCTCCTCTTGTGTGAATAACTTAATAGATCAAAGACATTGCTAGACGGACCTACCTGTGAGATACCTAGCTCCTTGAGATAGTGAAGCCTTTTTGATGGGAGCAGTTATTCTCACAAAGAGCACAGAAGATCTCAATGAGACTATTTATATGAGTCTCTACTCACCAGTTTGAATGTAGGCTTCACAACCTGGCCCTAAATTCTCTCCTTGTACAGTTGGATAGCTACCTCATGAATTGTTTGTCCTTTAATTCTGAAGACCCAGGTGTGATGCTGGCAGGCCAGGAATCAGCTCTTACCAGAGCTTTCGGTCTCAGCTGAAGACTGACAAATTAATTGCAGGAAACCAGACTGTTTCATGTATGTGTTAGTAGGGTTATTGGACTTACAACAAAGTGTTTAGCGTATAGACTTTATGAAATGTTTGTAATTTGCTGCATGCATTAATCTCATGGATAATGTCTTTGTCATGTGCTATAAGGTAATATTTAAATTTTTGCTTTGGAGCTGTAAAAATGTTTGTTTTGAAATTATGCACCCAATTAGGAGAGATTGTCTCCTGCCCACACAGAAAAAACTATCAAAACTAACATCACAAGACCACGATTTTGTTAATTACCCCCTCATGGCCACAAAGAGATTATGTGCCAAAGGGCTTGTCCCCATCAGTTTGAATTCTGGAAGAAGGAAATAAAAATAGCTGGCAAGAAAATGCGTCCTCTCTTTTGCTATTTGGATTCTCCCAGGGCTGGTGCTACAAAACAGAAGCAGAAATCTCCAGGGTACCTGGGTCAGCCCTAAAAGATATTCAGAGCTGACAGATTAATACAGCTCTGTCATCTTGTGCAACCAGAGGCTGTAACTCATGTGTATATATAAGGTTGCCTGCTTTAACCTTGTAATAAGTCTTCTCTTACTTAATAAATCCTTAGATTGTTTGCTCAAGATCTGTGGAAAGTAGCTGGTCCTTTGGGATTGGAGCAACCTGAATATTTTGTGATCTTCGGTGGATCTATCTTTAAGACAAGATTGCCTGCATGGTAAGATAGACCGGCATGCCCAAGGGAAGTATTTGTGATTGCATGGTAAGATAGTTATACTGCTTTTGGAGTTCACACTTGTTACTGGGTTGGCGAAATTGAATTCTAGAACATACAGCCAGTTTGGGACCTCTGCCCTGCTTCCTGATAGTCTGCCCTGAGTTTGATCTGCATGGTCACTAGTCTGTCCAAACATCATGACACCCAGTACTGGTTAGAGGCTATAGAAGCAGATAGTACAATCTGGTTTGGCAATCTCAGTGTTCCTAGGGGAATGGGCAAATAAACACATGTATTTTTATCCCAATTCTATGTGTCACTCACTGCTCCTGACTTGAAAGGATCCTTTCATCAGGAGAGCAGCAAGACAACAGGAAAGGCACCTCCACCATACAGAATATCACTACAACCTCACTAGGGCTACGTCTACACTGGCCCCTTTTCCGGAAGGGGCATGTAAATTTCACCAGTCGTCGTAGGGAAATCCGTGGGGGATTTAAATATCCCCCGCGGCATTTAAATAAAAATGTCCGCCGCTTTTTTCCGGCTTTTAAAAAAGCCGGAAAAGAGCGTCTAGACTGGCCCCGATCCTCCGGAAAAAGTGCCTCAAAGTAGGAATAAGACCCTCCGGAAATGTCCACTTATCCTGGGTGTGGCCAAGTTTCCTGTGGTCTCATAAAGTTTGTTTACAGCCACCAGTCCTGGCTCTCAGTGTTCTGTGCTGTTATTTAGCTCTAATTCACCCTTAAAAGCCCTCTAGCATACCAGTAAGAAGCGGAAGTGTTGGTAATGTTGCTAGACAATATTGACCCCCCATGGTTCAGTAAATTCTCCAGGTCAGGTGCAGTCAGGTCCCAATGGTTCTGGACTAGAGAAGTTCAACCTGTAATTAATGATAAATGATAGGGTTGTTGATTAAGCACAATTAACTCACACAATGAACTCAAAAAATGAATTGTGATTAAAAATTGAATCATGATTAGTGATCATTTTAATCATACTGTTAGACAATAGAATCCCAATTGTAATGTATTACATATTTGTGGATGTTTTTCTACTTTTTCAAATATATTAACTTCAGTTACAACACAGATTACAAAGTGCACAGTGTTTACTTTATATTATATTTATTACAAATATTTGCACTGTAAAAAGGTAAACAAAAGTGATAGTATTTTTCAATTCATCTCATGAAAGTACTACTGTGCAATCTCTTTATCAGAAAAGATGAACTTCCAAATGTAGACTTATGTAAAAAAAAACCTATATTTAAAAACATTGCAAGGTATTCATGTGCCAGATATGCTAAACATTGGTGGCCCCTTCATGCTTTGGCCACCAATCCAGAGGACATGATTCCAGGCTGATGACACACGTTAAAAACGATGCGTTAATTGAATTTGCGATTGAACTTAGGGGAGGATTGTTTTCCTCCTGCTCTGTTTTACTCACATTCCGAAGTATATTTCATGTTATATCAGTCTCGTATGATGACCTAGCTCATGTTTGCTTTAAGGACACTTTCACTGCAGATATGACAAAACACAAAGAAGGTACCAATGTGAGATTTCTAAAGATAGATACAGTGCTCAGCCTGAGGTTTAAGTATCTGAATTGCTGTCCAAAATCTGAGAGGGATGAGGTGTACAGTGTGCATTCAGATATTTTAAAAGAGCAACACTCTGATGGTGAAACTACAGAACCTGAAACAACAACAACAAAAAATCAACCTTCTGTTGATATCTTCTGACTCACATGATAAAAATCAACATGCATTGATCTGCACGGTTTTGAATTGTTATTGAGCAGAACTTGTCATTAGAATGGACACACATCTTCTGGAATGGTGGTTGAAGCATGAAGAGGCATATGCATCTTTAGTGCAGCTGGGATATAAATATCTTGCAATGCTGGCTACAACAGTGCCATGTGAACGCCTTTTCTCACTTTCAGGTGACATGTAAACAAGAAGCAGACAGTATTATCTGCCACAAATGTGACCAAAGTTGTTTGTCTGAGCAATTGTTCTGAACAAGAAGTAGGTCTGAGAGGCCTTATAGGCTCTAAAATTTTACATTGTATTGTTTTTGCATATAGTTTTATTACATAATTCTGCACTTTTAAGTTCATCTTTCATGATAAAGGGATTGCACTACAGTACATGTAATGAGGGAATTGAAAAATACTGTTTCTTTGGGGGATTTTTTTACAGTGCAAATATTTGTCATAAAAATAAATGTAAAGTGAGTGCTGCACATTTTATATTCTGTTGTAATAAAAATCAATATATTTGAAAATGTAGAAAACACCCAAATTTTTTTAAACAAATGGCCCCCAGTGTTTAATAACACAATCACATGATTTTTTAAATTGTGTGATTAATTGCAATTATTTTTTTAAATCATTATCTAATAATATCTAGCTCTTTTGCCATGCTTTTCATCAGAGGAACTCAAAGTGCTTTTCAAAGGAGATAAGAACCATTCCCTATTTTAGATATATAATAATAATTAACAATGTCACAACACTGTATCCCTCTCAGATCTAAGCTCTGGGGACTGGATGATTTAGGACACTAGTATTTGATTATAAAGTATTTCACCATGAGATTACTGCTTCCAATCAGCCCCTGTTGGTAGCAAATGGAAATCTCTACTGTGACATTATTGTTTAGTGGTGCATGGGTGGTCTCAGTACAGCTGGTAATAGATAGAACCCCACCACCTGTTTCATAAAGGCAAAAGGCTCCTTGACATTGAATGCACTAAGAATTATTCATTAGTGAGCATTTTTCACGTGTGCATCATCAGCACATGTCAGAGTGGATTCCTCTCTTGCTGCACACCCATCACAACTCCTGTGGAATCTACCTACCTCTTGTATATTTCAGTCAACCAGCAAACGGTTAAGCACCAATTGTATAACTAGCATTCGGCTAGCAGGTTTCAACCCAGCCATGTTCCCAGTTGTAATTAAGAAAACTGTCAATGCCCTGATTTTAAATTATATGCCCGGAGACATTTATCATTGGAGTATTCAGAGCTTGCATTTTAATAAATATTAATAGGAAATGAGGCGAGATTCTTAGTAGCGTATGCAGCGATTTAAATTGAAGAGGAGGATATTACAGTGTACAAAAGATTCCCATGGAGGAGGAGAACAGTCGTCTTAGCTGAATCATTTACTTAACCTTGACCACCGTGGTCTCTGGCAGTCAGTGTTAAGATCATTTCCTTTTCTGGATCTGGCAGAACAGGAGTGACCTAGGAGCTTTTTTCCGATGACTGAATAGTGTCCAGAATGTATGTGGGAAAGGGAAGTGCTTGACTCTAGAACCGGTTGAAAAAACTAATTGTTTTAATGGCAAATATTCATTTTAATAGTAAAATTGGGGTTGAAAGTTTACACAAGCCTCAGGATCTTTTTTCTCCTTTTGGTGAAAATGTTTGCTTTTCAACCCTCTCCTTCTCCCCAGGAATGGTTTAAAAGAAAACCAAAAAAGGTTTGCAAAGCATTTTCATTTTTAACACAACACCACGGGGGCTAGAGAGACATGCTATCTGGAATGGCTCATGACTGGACTATGAGTGCCTATCCCAAAGTAGGGTAGATTTCCCAGACTACTGGTGTGTTCTATGCACAAGCTAGTGAGAAACGGTGACCTCCTGGATCACTGTATCAGTCTTACTACAGAGTCACAGACTGTCCCTTTCGACTCTCCTGTCTATGGTGCTGCTCACATTGGTTACTTACACCAAAAATCACATCCAATTAGGTTGTCCCCAGTCCCAAGAGACCAGACACCTTCCCCATATCAAATGGTACTCTTGATCTTACACCAAAAACAACACCGGTAGCCAAGTTAATACAGGGGTGAAAGTAACGTTAATTGCTTACAGGTGTTGTCTTATCACAACCTGCCCCCTTGCAATACAATACCCGTAAGAAATGTCAGTGTGGGGCAGAGTGTGGAGGGCTCAAGGCAGAGGGTTGGGATGTGTGTGTGTGTGTGTGGGGGTCAAGACCAGGATGCAACTGTAGCCAGATGAGGGGCCAGGGCAGGTTCATCGTGGCTAGATCATGGCCAATTCTGCTTCCCTTCCTATCCATGCCACAGCAGAGCTGGGAGTGGGGAAAGGGCTCCTGGCAACCCTTCCCATGGCCAGATGAGGGCCGGAACACAGGGCCTGCCCCAGGATTGGGGCCAGGGACAGGCCACCATGGCCATATGGGGGCTGGTCCCCAAATGGGGCCGTGTTGACTGGATAGCATCTAGGGCCAGGCTGGAGCTGGGCTGCCATGGCCATGGGTGGGCCACTGTAGTAGTCGTTGGGCCACAGGGCCTGCCCCAGGAGCGGTGTGGTCAGGGACAGACCACTGCAGCCAGATGGGACCAATTCTGCCACTCACCCACTGTGGCAGGATCAGGGCCTGCCCCAGGACTGGGGCCAGGCCACCGTGGCTGGACAAAGGCCAGGCTGCCACAGCCACACAGAGGCCTATTCTGCCCATTCGCCCCATCACAGGAGTGAGGCTAGGGCTGGATGGGGCAGATTCCCCGTCTCCTCTTGCATGAGCGGGGTCAGGGCCGGGCTGCTGGGGCCAGATGTGTGGCCCCAGCTAGAAGTGTGCACACCTCCCTTACAACATTCCCCCCACCAGACCCTCTAAATTGCCTGCTCCGGATCAAATGCCCCAGCTGGCTCTTGCTGGAGAGCACCCAAGTTTTACTGGAGCAGCACACTAGGGTGCACTGCCTTACTTTCACCTCTTCATCTATAGTAAACTAAGGAAAGGTTTATTAGTTACAGAAAGTGAGGGTTATTGAGAGGCTAAGGCAGGTAAAGCATATGCACAGGTGAGTCACAGTGACAGGGATGTAATAAATTGCCAGTTTCCCCAAAGTCGTCTCCCATATTGTCTCTGGAGATCTCTGCTTTGCATGTGGTGCGCTTCCCCCGTAAAGATCTAACCCATCCGGAGGTGCAGGGCCTTTCCTGGACTCCACTGTTATAGCCTCTTCGCTGCCCTCATGGGCTTTTCCTTCGATGACGGGGAGTGAGGGATGCATTTTGAGTCTCTGACCTCCAGTCATCAGACACAATGACCACTTGCTTTGAGACTAGCCCTTTTCTGCTAAAATATCCCGTTGGCATTCTTTCTGGTTATTTAGTTACAGGGGGATACTTGCCGGAAAGGGTCACTACTACATTATAAAGGGAAGCAGATAAGTAAAAGCAATGCAAGTAACATCCCACTGGTTTTCCAAAAATTGAAACACCCCAAAACACACGTATATATTTAACAGTCCCTTTGATCTAGACCAAGACACAAGTGATTTGGGCTGGGGCTCTGGCACGAGTTGGTCCTGGTCTGCCAGGATCACAGAAGAGTCAACGTTTATTTTTTGCTACATTTTTTGACCTGAATCTGCTGAACACCACCAAAGTTCCACCTATAGGGAGAAACAAGCCCCAACCCCACAGTGCAATTCTAGTAGGCTTTCTCAAAGTGTTGTCCATAGACCACTGGTGGCCCAAAAGACATTCCTCATGCACTGCAGAGAGCTTCCAGGTCACATTGTGCTAGCTTGTCCTACTTAATTCCAGCTGTTCTACTTTGTTAGGGTACAATAAAAACTCATTCCAAGATTGCTGTTCCATGTAAAAAAAACCATCCTCTAGTTACCATATTGTTTATTATTTGCATGACAGTGGCACCGAGATGTCCCACATGAGATCATTGTATTAAACACTGTGCATAGCAAGAGAGAGGCCCTTGAAGAGTTTACATTTTAAACCTTAAAACACTGGAAGGGGGGAAACAGACATGAAAGGCGACGTGAGCACAAACTCAAAAAGGCCAATGGAAATGCCAGGAATAAAATCCAGGTCTCTTACGCCCCACACAATTACCCTATCTTTTGCTTCTCTGTGCATGTTAATGGGAGAGGACGTGGTCTATGGAATCATAAACGATGAATAAATTCGTAGATTTCAAAGCGGGAATGGACCATTGTGATAATATAGTCTGAGCTTCTGCATAACAGATAACTTCCCTGAATTATTTCCTATTAGCATGAGAAAATATTAAAAAAAAAAAAACCCTAATAGGAGGTTTGAGTTAAAAATGTCCAGTGATGGGAGGGAAAGTAGATTTAGAAGACATTTGCCTTATTAAAATACATCCCATACAATGAAAACGTTTGACTTCTATAAGGTATAATAAGAATCCTGGAGTGAGAAGCAGCTGTTATTCATAGATGAAACAATCACCAGTTCACCAGATTTGTGTGTGTGTGTTGGGGTGGTATTCTGTGTGGCCTTCATTTGGCAGAGGAATTTATTCCTGGCTGGAGGCATCTGTCCTCAAGCTAAGTCAAACTTGCTATTTTTGGTTTATGATAATTTAGCTCATGGTTCCCTTATTTATTTTTGTTCTTTGTATAATGATGTCATGTGTAAATAAAGTTGGGGTTGTTCCCTTCCAATAGGTGTGAGAGAGTTAATTGTACCTGGGTTGGGGGTATTCGTGTGAAAAGATTTTAGCCTTCACAATAATAACATAATAAGCCCTTTTCATGGGTGAGAACTCCAGCAGTTGCTGTTGGAGAGAATAATGGTACTTGTCATGCAATTCCTCCAAATAAATCTGGTTCTAATAGTAAATATCACTGTTTTTGCCACTTATGTTTATTCTCACTCACTCAAACCAACACTTGCTGGCAATCTCCCCTCACTGTACGTGCAAGCAGAAGTATTTAAGGAACGCCCTATTGTGTTCATCAGGATTAGCAATTTTTCCAAGGCCTATTGGAATGAGCGCTTAGTTATAAAGAATGACATGTGTCGGCTTTGGTCTAAATATAGGGGATGAGAAATACAGCACGGCTTGCAGGCTTCCAAAGGAGACATTCCAAGGAGCTGGACGGCGGGTGAACACATTTCATATTCGAGAATGAGCAAAGAAGGCATGCTGATTAACCTGCCTGGAACGCAGGGCTTCCTCCCAAACCTCGCATAACAGGAGTGCTAAAACCTGCACAAGTTTTATTTTGTTCTGGTTTATTTCAGATGGTGAAAGCCATACCATTGAGTCACTTAGCTACAAATGTAGCTTTATGGAAAGTAATGTGCAACTAAGTGGCTGCAGTGAGGAATCCAGATGGGAATGGGTTGTTGTCACCCTCATCTTTAATACTCATGTATGCTATGAATGGACATTTCAAAGGTAAGGTCTAAGTCAGCTCTGATGGATGGTGAACAGGAGTTGTCCTTGAAAACCCCAGTTTGCATGTCCCAGCATGCAAAGTTCTATCTAAGTCAAAGCTGCTTCTAAGGATGCACCAGCCTCATTTTTCATAGGGTATGTCTACACTTGCAGCCTATTTCGGAATAGGGCTGCAAATGTAGGCATTCGGAATTGCAAATCAAGCCTGGGATTTAAATATCCCACACTTGATTTACATCTTCCTGTCCGGGCGCCATTTTTTGAAATTTACAAGCCCGGAATAACTACCCACGTCTACACACAGCAGTGAAATGGGCGTTCGAAATAAAACCCTATTTCAAACTACCTGTTAAACCTCATTGCAGGAGGAATAACAGGTAGTTCGAAATAGGGCTTTATTTCGAATGCCCGTTTCACTGACGCGTGTAGATGCGGGCAGTTATTCCGGGCTTGTAAATTTCAAAAACAAACAAACAAACAAAAAAAACGATGCCCGGACAGGAAGATGCAAATTAAGCGTGGGATATTTAAATCCCGGGCTTGATTTGCAATTCCGAATGCCTACAATTGCAGCCCTATTCCGAAATAGGCTGCAAGTGTAGACATAATCTTCCTGTCATTCACAGGTGTATCTCATGCAGTGCTCCATGTCGAGCCAAGCTCCATATTAAAAGGTAGGCTGCCATGAGGAGCATTACTAGAGGCAGGTCATTTGTCCTTTCCTTGACCACCAGCTCCATGGCTGACTAGCCACTCCAATGAGAAGATAATGAGGCTTGTTGGGACTTTTCTCAGATTAATTAAACAGTAAGGAAACAAAGGATACGATCTTAACAAAGGGGAAAAAAAGGATGCCTGAAGTTCTCCGTGACTAATGAGCCAGGAATCTTTTTAATTGTGGAAATGTCAGGTGGCTAACAATTGAATATCTCGCAGGCCTAAGTGAGTAGGTTGGAATGTTTCCTGTTTACTGGCAGGGGACGCGAGCCAGTTTGGTAACCTTGTTGAAAAGACCTCCCTAGATACTGAGCCTGGCCCTTCTGGCTGCCGACTGCTACCAGCAGGAGAGTTACAAATGCATAAGAACCTGAGTACCTTCAAAATGCACAATCTTTGAATGGTTTTAAGGTTTTGATCGCTAAATCTGACTATTCCAAATTGAGGGCTGTAATCAAAGCCCTCTGACTTCAGTAGGTTTAGGATTGAGCTTTTATTACTGGGAATGTCTCATGGACTAAACCTTTCATTTTCTAAATCTAAAATGAAGATATGAATATGCATATTCACTGTGATGTTAACAATAAAGCTAATTAATCTGATATGCCTAGGTAAACCCTCACCATGCAAATATAAGTCAAAATGTCTTGCACATGCTATGCAAATTCAGGAGTCTTCAATGGGTCCCTGTTCCATCGTGGAGTCGATTCCAGAAAAGCTTGAAAAAGCAGTGGAATAACTTTAACATTATTAACCCACATAAAGACTCATGAATATAGCACAAAATCAGTCATGTTGATATTGGCTCCCCCCAGAAAGAAAAAGAGATCAAAGGGGTTTTTTCCCCTGAAAATATTAGCCTTGAGTTGGTTTTCAGATCTTGAATGTGAAATTGCATTTACTTTAAACGCGTTCAAGGCTCACTACTGAAGCATTCTTGTTATTCTGGTTGAGTAGGCCTTTTATAGGAGGTATTTACTTTCCTATTTATATAGCTATTTCTTCGGAACTGTAAGGAGATGAATTTCTTATAGAAATGGGTTAGGTTTTTTCAGGAATTGATATCCCAAAGAATGACACATTTAGGTTTTGGGAGGCAGAGGATGCCTCTGGAAAACACTCAGAAAAACAAACCAAAATTTAAAAAAAGAAAAATGGACAATAAATGGTTACATTTTCATGGCAGCACCAGCTTATTTGGTCTGGGTTATTGCGAGATTAAAATCCATGTAATGTCAGGTGTATCCAAATGGCCAAGGCAAGGAGGACATATGGGTTTCAGTGAAAGCACTTATGTCAAAACTGAGCTCTTCTGAGAATACAGCAAAGAGTTCTGTGGCACCTCAGGCATGGTCTACAGTAAAGGGCAAAGTCAACTTCAGATATGCAACTCCAGCTATGTTAATTATGTAGCTGGAATCAAAGCATCTTAACTCGCATTTTGGCACCATCCGCACAGCAGGAGGTCAACGGGAGCAGAACTTCCTTTACTCCTTGTTAGTGACAGTTGGCAGAACAAGGAGCAATGGTCTCGAGTTGTGGTGGGAGAGGTCCAGGTTGGATATTAGGAAAAACTATTTCAGTAGGAGGGTGGTGAAGCACTGGCATGGGTTACCTAGGGAAGTAGTGGAGTCTCCATCCCTAGAGGTGTTTAAGTCTCGGCTTGACAAACCCCTGGCCGGGTTGATTTAGTTGGAATTGGTCCTGCCTAGAGCAGGCGGCTGGACTTGATGACCTTCTGAGGTCTCTTCCAGTTCTATGATTCTATGATAAGGGGATGGTTTGATGAGATAACATGATCTTGGTAACTAATTGACCATTCATTATCAGTGAGAAATAGGTCAATGGAGGGATGATAGGAGTTACTATAGAGAACTTTCTGGGTGTCTGGCTGGTGAGTCTTGCCCACATGCTCAGGGTTTAGCTGATCGCCATATTTGGGGTCGGGAAGGAATTTTCCTCCAGGGTAGATTGGCAGAGACCCTGGAGGTTTTTCGCCTTCCTCTGTAGCATGGGGCGCAGATCACAGCTAAAGGATTCTCTGCATCTTGGGGCCTTCAAAGTATTTGAAGGCTTCAATATCTGAGATATAGGTGAGAGGATTATTCTAAGAGGGGTGGGTGAGACTGTGGCCTGCACTGTGCAGGGGGTCAGACTAGATGATCATAATGGTCCCTTCTGACCTTAAAATCTATGAGTCTATGAGCAGGACTACGGGAGTTCCCTCTGAGTTCAAATTAGTGGGTCTTCACTAATTCGAACCCCAGAAGATCGACTGCGGCAGCGTCAATCTTCTCTGTAGTGTAGACAAGCCCTTAGAGACAAACAGATGTATTAGGGCATACGCTTTCGTGCTAAAACACACTTCCTCAGTTGAGCCCTCATAAATCTGTTCATCTCTAAGGGTTTGTCCACACCACAGAGCAGATCGAGGCTGCTGCAGTTAATCTTCTGGGGTTCGAATTAGTGGTCTAGTGAATGCAGGAGGATTCTTGGGCAGGGGTGGGCAAAATGTCCTCCACAGGCCGGATCCGTCCCACGGAGGAGGCCAATCAGAGCGTGGGGGCGAGGAGAAGCATGCAGAGTCTCCTATTGCTCTGCCCCCGCCCTGCAAGGAGTGCATGGGGCTTAGAAGTGCTGTGTGCTCCTGGAAGGGCGGGAGGAGACTTTGAGTGCTCCCCGCACCTCTACGCCAATCGGGGCATGGGGACAGTGAGAGCACATGACATCTCCTCCTGCCCTGCAAGGGGCTCAGCAGTTAAAGTCAACCACCAGCTGCTGCTCAGTTGGCGGGTGACTCTAAGCGCGGTGCTCCCTTGCAGGGCAGAGGCAGGGAGCGAGAGACTTCACATGCTCCTCCTCTCCAGGCCCTGATTGACTTCGAGGCAGCAGGGGAGAGCACACGAAGGCTCCTCCCACTGCCAGGGGTACGGGTGCCTAGAGGGAACTGCCAACTGTTCTGAACAGTTGGCGGTTCTCTTTGGGGGAGGGAGGCAGCAAAGACTTTGCATACTCCCTCACCGCCAGACCAATCAGGATCTGTGGATGGAGAAGCATGGAAGTGTCCTGGCCCCGCCCCTTCCACCTGAGGCCCCGCCCCTTCTGGGATGGCCCAGGGCCACTTCAAAAATTTCTGAAATGGCCCCTGGTCAAAAATTATTGCTCACACCTGGTCTACATCCAGCATTGAGATCTAGGAAAATTCCCAAAGGTGGACACACTGGCTCTGTGGCATATAGGTCTGTGCTAAAATACTTAGACAATCTGGCAGCGCTTGGCCCAGTCATACTTTGAAGCAGCCAATTATCTTCAGATTCACATTTTTCTTTTCTAAAGAAAAGCTGAGTAGTTTCACCATTCTGAGAAAAGCTATTAAATGGGGCCCTATTGAGTGTACTCTGAATTTGATATCCAACATGTCCTTCAAAAACTGTGTTTTTTAAAAATATATATTTCAAGCCCTCATGCAACCCAAACCCACCAGTGCAAGAACCTTACCCAGGTATGGTGGCTGGAAACATCCAGAGCCCCACTCCCTGCTGGCCACTGTCTCACCAGTGCTCCCACTTCCCTATGCTCATTCTACAGCATAGCTGTCCCTGCTAGCAAACCCCTCCGTTTTCATTTCATGGAAAACAATCATATTCCAGGCAAATCCCATTGTCCTGGCTTTAAGATATGATAAAAGGAAGCTGCCTACTGATTTGGTGATCCTAGTTCTTACTGTTTAGGAGGAATTCTTGAACAGACGGACAGATACACAAACTCAAATATACAGGGACTTAAATAAAGCCTTATTCTGAACTACCGGTTATTCCTCCTGAAATGAGGCTTAACAGGTAGTTTGGAATAAGGCTTTATTTCAAACGCCCGTTTCCCTGCTGCGTGTAGACGCGGGCAGTTAGTTCAGGCTTGTAAGTTTCAAAAAATGGTGACTAGCCAGGAACATGCAAATCAAGCGCGGGATATTTAAATCCTGGGCTTGATTTGCAATTCTGAATGCCTGCATTTGCTGCCTTAGTTTGAATCAGGCTGCAAGTGTAGACATACCCTAGTAGATTCGGTGTTAAGATACGTACTTATGCATGTCAAGACAATGTAATTGTGATGTCATATTGTATATGACCCAAAATATCATGACCCTCAGTGCTGCCCAGAGGTGGGAGTGCCAAACCTTTTTAAATTGCCCGGGTCCGTGAAAGCTGCCCATAAACAGGCCTAATTGTTAGTGCAGCACTGTGTCCTTTTGGAATTGGCTTCTTCAAGCAATGCTTGAAGACACTCACTGTTCGGTTGATGTTTCTTCTGCTTGCTTGCAACATCCTGGAGACAATTGATTTCTCATGGACAGTTAGTTCACTAGGGATCTGTTTAATAAGGAAAAAAAATCTTGGGAAAACAAAGCATATCAATAATCACAAGTATTTACATCTGGCAGTAAAGTTTTGGGGGGAAAAATTACTCCAGCAGCTTGTTGACTTTTCAACTTAATTTTATTAAAATGTTCAACATGAAGTTTCTATTTAAAAAAAAAAGCAGTTGAAAGAAATAGCTAAGATTAATAGGAACCTAAATTGAAACCATGTTGTTTTGTAAGTAATGCAGCCCAACACTGAATTAATAGGAAGGCCTTTTTTTTTTTTTTCAGGCAAAGTTACAAAGTTTTTGCCACTGCTGTTTATCTTTGCCTTGGCTTTCTTAGAAGGCAGGGAGGGACACGAGCCCCAGCTACTAAATGTTTTGTTTCCTCTTCTGACCTTCGTTCAGTTCAGTTTTTTAACACTGGCCTCGGCAGAGTCATTTGACAGTATATTACTCCGGTTGATCTCGCTCAGGTGGTATAAACCAGTATAACACCATTTACTTCAAATCATTCTCGAGCGGGAGTTTACAACAAATTAGGGATGTTAAAATGCATTTAATTAAGTAATAGTGTAACCCTAGAAATGTTAAGCCAGCTCCCACCTGCCTGCCCACACTGCTGCCTCTGATACAGAGGCAGCAATGTGAGGGGGCATGGCAGACAGTTCCTCAGGAGCCGGTGCATGCAGGAAGCTGACTTTTAACCCGACTCCTTGCATGCTGGCTGCCGCCTGTCCCCCACGCTGCTGACTCTATATTTGCATGTACCAGGAGCTTATGTATAACTGTGCATGTTAACCAGTGAGCCCAGGTTCATAGGTTAACTGTGTACACTTTCACATCCCTACAACAAATGTGCTATTTAAAAAAAGAAAAAAGCAGATGATACACTGAAAAAAGACTTCAGCATATAGCGATGGCCTGCAGAAATGAATGACAAGGGGATCAGAGAATTACTCTGAGGAGTTTACGAAAGCAACAACATAGAGGTCTTATAATTATCACTACAGGATTCTGTATGGTCACCAGTCCCTGGTAGAAAGGTTTAGCCTGACCCGGGGAGTTAAACAGGACATCAGGAAAATAGTAAAACTAACTTCATTGGGTCATAGCCAGTTTACGCCATTGAAGGAGCGGGCGGGTTGATTTCAATGGAGCCACGCTGATTTACACCAGCTGCTTTTATTCCCTACTCCCTCCAAGATATTTTTTAACTCCACAGGGAACAATTACTGTGTGGTAACAATGGAGAACACGAACACTGGGGGAACTTGTTAGCAGCCTGAAGGCGGGTATTCAGCTCGCTGTTTGGTCCATGAATTGTTAGTAGAAACATTGAATGCTACCAGCTGGCCTCACAGTGGTCTGTATTCATTATGTGACTAAATGTATGCAGTTTCCAATGGATTTTTACTTGGGAATGTCAGTGCAATTTGCGAGTCATAATTGCATTTCTATGTACATTACATTACACCAGATCCCAAGCGGGGGCTCTGTGGCTGTAGTTATGGGTTTGAGGAGTCCAATTTGTATTCGGAGCAGTTAGTCGGAGCATTTTCTATTCCCAGAGCCCTGGGGAGAGGGTGGGAAGCACGCCAAGACCCACTGCAAAGATGCTGAGAAAGGACCAGTAGGGGTCACTCTAGGGCAGCAAGAGTGGGGGAGCTCACTCCATCCCTGCTTCAGAGATTGTGATGAGGAGACCAGCAGGGGGTGATCTAAGGGAATGCGCCTGGGTGGGATGGATTCTATTCTTAAGGGTGGCTCCCCATGAGAAATCCAGCCATGCCTGTGAGGCATGAAGGGGAAAGGAGGTGGCACAGTCACCAGTGAACCCTGCAATAATCTCTGCCCTCCCCCCCCCAGGAGTGCACAGCTGGTGCCTGGAGCGAAATGCTGAAAGAGGATTGGCTGGGGCAAGGGATTCTTGTCGCCCAGACGCACCTGTCTGCCACATCGCCACCTCCTCCCGGGAGCCGGTTTCCAGCAGGAGGAGCCTATCAAGGATCCTACAAGCGCAAATCACACAACAGGCTGCAGCCTGCATTTCCCTTGGGGTCTTGCCAGCATCGCGGCACAGGATCCCAGTGGATGGTGACAGGGGGAGACTGAATGATCTGCTCTGTGCTAGGATAGGAAGGAGTCGGGAGGCCACCCTGGATCACAGGGAAAAAGCAAACCCACTGAAGCAGGCGGTGTAGCCTTGTGAGCAAACAGCAGACTGCCAGTTCTGTCAGTACTTGCTCTGCAGAGACGGAGCTCTCTGTCCTTGCTTGGGCAGCTCATCCAGGTGAGATGGAATCTGGTCAACACGGTGAATATAGCCGAACCACTGGACAATTGTGGTCATAATGTAATTAAAGTGGACACCCTTGTAGGGGAGCTGAACGAAAATTAGGAGACTGGTTAAAAGGAAAAGAAAAGGAACGGTCACAAGAGTGAAATGCCTGCAAGCTGCAGGGAAACGTTTTCAAAACACCGTAATGGAGGCTCAAAAGAAACGTGTACCTGAAATAAATAAATAAATAAATAAATAAAAACAGTAAGAGGATCCGAAAATGCCAGCATGGTAAACAGCAGAGCAAAAGAGGCGATTAGTGGCAAAACAGCATTCTTTACAAGCTGGAAGTCAAATCCTAGAGAGGAAAGAAGAAGGCACGTATATTCTGGCAAGTGTAAAAGTATAATTAGGCGGGCCAAAAAATGTGAAGAGCAATTAGCATGAGACAGAGAAACTAACCATTAATTTTTGTTAAGTCTACCAGAAGCAGGAAGCCTTTCAAACAATCAGAGGGGCCACTGGATGGCCAAAGTGCTAAAGGAGTGCTCCAGCAAGACCAGGCTGCCGTAGAGAAACTAAATGAAAGCATTGCATCTGTCGTTGCTGCCGAGAATGTGAGGGAAATTCCCACATCTGAGCCATTCATTGTAGGTAACAGATCTGAGGAACTGTCCCAGACTGAGGTGTCAACGAGGAGGTTTTGGAATAACTTTTGATAATTAAAAAGGAAGAAAGTCACAAGACTAGAGCCACCGGGTATAAGGCTGGGAGTTGGGATTACTCAGGGTCACTGGTTTTCTCTCCCTTTAATTCCCCCGTACTCAGGCTATGTCTAGACTGGAAGCCTCTTTCAAAAAAGAGCCTCTGGACTACAACCAGTACTTTCGAAAAAGCAAGCCACTTTTTCGAAAGAGAGCACCCAAGCAGTCCGGATGCTCTCTTCCAAAAAAACCACAGTTTGTATTACATAGCGCCTTTTTTCAAAAGAGCACTTTCGAAAAAAAGCATTCTTCCTTGTAAAACGAGGTTTTCTGTGGTCGAAAAAACTGCTGTGTTCTTTCGATTTACTTTCGAAAGAATACAGCAGCAATCTAGACACGGGAAGTTTCTATGAAAAAGGCCACTTTTTTTAAAAAAAAACCCCTGTAGTCTAGACATATCCTGAGAGTGCGTCTACACTGCACCCTTAGATCAAAATAAAATATGCAATTTGTGCAACGCAAATCGCGTATCTTATTTTGACTTTTTTTCGAAATAACGCATTACGTTGAGACATCCTTTATTCGTTGTGCAACAAGGTTTACAGGGATGCCGAAATAGCGCATCCGCTATATTTTGCAATAGCGGACGCATTCAGAAGATGCGGGGTAGCTATTTCAGGTTACTTCTGCTATCCTGAAATAGCATTGCAGTGTAGACATACCCTCAGAGTGCAGTTTCAAGGTGAGTGCCTGTTCCTTCATCTCCCATCCTGGTCAGCACCAGCTGCTCTGAACCAGGGACCTGGGCGAGGCCGCTCAGCCGCTGCCGTGCACTGGCTGCAGTTAGCAAAGGTTCCCCTCGCCCCCGAATGAACAAGAGTGTGGAGGAGGCCAGGCCAGGAGCGGGAGATGGGGAGGGTCCTGCCCGAGCAGGATGGGGAGGGGATGAAGCATGCCCTCTTGCGGGATGCAGAGGCCACTGGGCATGAGGGGGCCTTCACGGGTTGAGGAGGCTCCGAGGGGACATGCTTGCAGCCTTAAGCTATACGAACAGCTAATAGATGGGGGAGGCCTGGCGGAAGTTGCCACCAAGTACCAGCACAGCCTGGGTGTGGTGCTTCCCCCCATGAGGTGGCAGGCAACAGAAAGTCAGCAAGGCCTCCAGGAAGGAGGGATGGAGCTGAGAGAGTGCTAGAGATCTCTCCCATTGCAGGTGAAGGCTCGGGACTGGGAGGGCCTCACCCGTTAGCTGGGAGGGTTTGGAGTGCACAGTCATGGAGCGCAGAGACCACCAAGATGGCTGCCGCTGACCCAGTTGTGGTGGCAGGTCGGGGGGTGGTGGGGGAGGATGCTGCCTGGAATGAGGCACCCGGGGCTCCGAGGGAGAAAGGAGAATGAGCGAGGCCCTGCAAGGTGTCCATGCAAACCCCCAAGATTTACCGATGCCCATGGAGGGCTGCTCTGTGAGACACTCCTGATGTGGGGGAATATTTAAAAACATAGTGAGTGCTGTGGGGCGTCTCACAATCTATATAAGGGAACACTTGGTACATTTTCAAACAAGGGCCTCTGGTGCTTTCTCCCATGCTGCCCTTCACAGCTGGGAGGCGCGCTCCGAAAACCCGTTAAGCATCTTCCTTCACACCCCTTCTTAGAATACGCCTTTGCCACCATGCCTACAAAACCCTCGACAAGGGTTAAACGGCCGGTGTGCTAAGACCACAGCCGATCATGCTGCAGCCAGCAACAGGTTCCCAGCCAATTGGGGTGAGGAGCTAGTGCACAGGACAGGGACAGTGCATGGAGCCCTGTGCACCACCCCCTCCCACCTGGGAGCCAGGCCTGTTGCTGACCGCTTCCGGGACGCAGCGCAGTCTGCGATGCCGGGACAGGCAGGGAGCTGCCTTAGCACCCCCACTGGTTACCTGCAGCAATG